TCATTTAAAAAGCTAGAGGCAAAAAATTGAACATGTCAAACTTACAGATTATTATTTTCTATGATTCTAATTCCTTCTACTTTACAGTCAATACTTGAGTGAACTTCCTTTGGTCCTAGTCTTTGGTATTGCCACAGCGCTGACAACTGTTCACAAAGTTTTGCCCCATGCTGTATCTAGTTTGTTGTCCATTGAGAGATTTCAGTCAGAACCATCACATGTTTGTGTTCTGGAGGTCATAAGCAAGGTGAGCCTTAAATGGAAAGTGTTCTTAGTGTTCAGTAACAATAATGTTTTACAGTTATAATGATGTTTTCTCTATGAACTGCTTTTCATAGGTTTTGATGACTGCCACATTTCCATTCAAACTTAGTGCACAAGTGTTAAGATTACTGTATGAGAATTTTCTATTCCATGATTTCTCACTTCAGAACTTTTCCAGAGGACTTCAGGTATTGTTAAAATCTAAAACTTGAAATTTTGAGCCTTTAAAACAAAACAAGTTTCATTTCAATCTCTCTTAGGGCTAGCATTTAAAGCTGGCAGTTTTGTGTGTTTTCATAGTGTTAGTCAGTGGAGCGTGAAAATTAGTAGTGAAGCTGTGAAAGGTTTCACACAGTAAATGTCAGGCATGATGTGATACTTTCCTATTTGGGTTTTAAGTTGAGTTTTGTTGTTTCTATCTTTTCAGTTCTGTTTGATGGAGCATTTTTTTGAGAGTCCTCTGAGTGTGCTCTGTTGTGTGTCATCAGATGACAGGAAATATTTGCTGAATGAAATGAGTCATAAACAAGTGGAAATGTTTAGAAAAACAATGTCTTTTCGCAGGTAAATTTTACAGTTTTTTCTGTCTACCATCTCTCACTTCAGTAGGTTTTGCAGGAGAACCTTTTATTTATGTGTGGGATCATGGGAGCATTTGCCAGATAATACTTGAAAACTGTATTTTATTCTTTTGAAGCTGGAAAGGAATGTAGGCTTCTTTCCACAACAGAGAAATTTCTGTTAAGGTTCAAATTCACTTTCAAAACAAAAATTTATTTTTTCTACATTTCTGCTTCTGGCTTAATGCTCAGAAATTGACTGAAAGTTACTTTCATGAGTTCAATCCTTTCTTCTTGTTACAGATATGTTGAATCTGAGCCACCATCAAAGCAACTGCCATTGTTACTGGATGACTCCTTTGCCAAGGTTCGTTTGTTGATCTAGGAGTCATATTTAATGAAGTTTGAATGATTGTTGGCTGTTTGATGTCATACACTAAACCCATCTTCCACCATAAATTCTAATTTTAACAGGAAGCAATAGCTGAACTTTTAAAAAGCTTTCATGAGTACCACTGGAGTTTCTTCCCTGTGTTAAATTGTCTCCATATTCTCACCTGTAATCTTCCACAACATCCTCTGGGAAAGAAGGTTGTATAATTATGCATCTTAAGTCATAGGGTTTAATTTTTTTACATGATATTACCACAAAGTTTTGTGCTCTATTCATTAATTGAATGTTTGATTTCTATTGACATTTTCAGCCTCACAATGTTTATGAAAACAGTTTGTCAAGTAATATTTATGAACAGGAAAAATATAAGGAGGCACTGTCCTTGCTCAGGTGTGACTATGTGTGTTAGGATATTTATTCAAGATAGAAGTCTTATGTCAAACTTTGTCAAAATTTTCTTCCATATGTTGAAAATATGGAGGTTCCCAAATTTTTTACAAAACAGTCAGGATCCTAAGTGTTGTAGGCACATTTCATCCCCAAGAACTCATGTTTTTGATCTGACATCTTGCCATTGTGACATGTGCGTTTGATATCTTTTAATGTTACAGTACTGAGCATGTGAATATAAAAGTGATCCTAACCATAATTAATATAACCCAAAGCCAAGAAAAGCCAAGACTACTTTTAGAAATTGTTTTCTTCAAACAAATTTTAGGACAAATTTGAATGAAAATAATCTCTAAACTCATTATTTTATGGGCAGCTGAGTTAGTCCAATCTATTAAATTTTCTTCTTTTGTATCCACAGAGTTTGTTCAAGGGATGAGCTTCTTCCTCTTCTTAATAAATGTGTAGAAATTTTAGGGAATGCTGTGGACTCTCCTGAAACAGGAAGGTGAGAAATGTTTTCCAATTTCAATTCAAGGTTGTCAACAATTTTTCACCACTAACTGACTGTATGATTGTTTTGATTTAGGTATTGCCAAAAGCTCAAGAAATCAAGAGATGGTATTTGTAGATTGCTTGAACAATTTGACAAAATAAGTGGTAAATTAAGATGTTTGAATTATTTTTCAAATGCACTATGTGTGAACAGTTGTGTAATGAATATCGAAAATATTGTTTATCATTGCTGGTTGTTCACAGGAATCCAAGAGACTTGGGAAAAAAGGTCCACTCGAAAGGAAGCACTATCCACTGTTACCAACAGATTTGAACTTCAAGAGGTACAAATAAAGAGGAAAACAAATTTTTGTCCCTTCATAACTCTCATTGTTCTCATTCTGGCATGGTAATCAAAATACTCTTGAATTTATGATTTTTTTACTCAATGACAGAGACTAATGAGTGCTGCAAAACAAAAGAAGAAAGAATCCCCATATGATAACTTGCGAAAGAAAACAATTGATGCTATGGATGAGATGTTCAGGTAACACAAATTAGATTTCAATCTGCCCATTTTTGTACACCAGTTACTGAGCTTCAATAGGAGTAAACCTGTCAAAATTTTTTAGTCAGTGATAATATACAAACACACGTGGCAAGGAACAAAAGGTGTTTGGTTTCAATTCCATGGGGCACTGAACTCTTTTAGGATTGGTTAATGTTCAGCCAGACAAGCTTCTCAGGAGGAAAATTATTTTAATGTTGAAATTTTTATCCCTTTTTAATTTTCTCAACAGAACATTTTTGACCTGTCCACAAAACATGCCTCTGCATGAGGTCATTTATTATGACAAATTACAGGAAACAAGAAAGGTTTGCAAGCAGTCATTTGTGTTTATACATGTTATTAAACAAAGTCTGTAGGGATGAAAACTGCGTCCAAGGTCTGGAATATGGTCCTAGGCCAAGGCCATTTAACAACCTCTTAATTTTTTTCTGCAGGTTTGCTTTTATCTGCTTAGCTGCAATTGACACAGAAAGAATTTTAGACTGTGGTACCTGTTGTGAAAAACTGGGCTGGTTACAATAATATTTTACTTATCAAATTCTAGGATATTAGATTCCTTCCCACCAAGATGTACTAGAAAAAAATAAGTACTGGTATTGTCCTGTTGCAATGAGGTTTACAAATGAGTGTGGTCATAAGAGAAGTTGCCATCAGCCATCAACATGATTTTCCTTGCGTTATTATTAACTTAAATTATCCACCATGCTTATAAACAGCCAAAGTTTTTTTATGGTAACTAATAAAGTCATTCTGTTTGATCTGGGATAATTTTATTATGAAATTGTGGTTTCAATGGCCAGTCATGATCTTCCTTGATTGTTTGCCCTGGTTTTTTTGCATTTTAGCACTTGGTTGGAATGCCTCGTGTAGCCATACAAATAGCCTTAAGTAACCCTCGGCATTACCTTCAAGTGAGTACTGCTCTTAATACATAAATTTTATTTTCTGGGTGGGGAGTTAAGGTTAGAAAAAATCTGCATCCAAAGCTTTGAGAAGGCTGAAGACCTCATGCTGTTCTCAAGACTGAGAACACAGCTTTTTTCCCATGTGGACCAAACTGGAACAGTTAGTAACTTTTGTTCACTTTTGAATGGTCTCCTTTTTTCCATGTAACATTGAAAAAATCCTGTAATGTAGTGTGTCTTGTAAAAAAGCTGAAAAAACATTTCCAAATGCATGATTAGCCAATCACATCTGGTCTGCTTAGATGTTTCAGAAAATATTAAAACATAATACTACATCATAGGATCATGACTTTTCTTAACAAAACTCCTAGGAAATTTAACTCCAAAAAGTGTATTGGCTAGATGAAAAAGAGAATTATGAAATATCTAGTGATATTTTTCCTCAATTCCAGTGCGACTGTTGTCAGACTGACATAGGGACAGTTCAGGACACCTTACCTGACGTGTGCATTGCTTATAAACTTCACTTGGAGTGTGGCAGACTAATCAATCTTTATGACTGGTTCCAGGTTGGTGGCCTTTTTTAGCCTTGTTCTACCAATTTTTGTTTTTGCTTTGAAGGTTCTCTAAAAATTATGGGTGCTGCTCTCTCTAATCCTTGGTTGACTTCTGAAACAAAATCTAATGTTCTCTTTAGCCTTTGATGTAAGGAGATATGCTGGAAGGTAATTGTCCACTTAATTTTCTCAGTCCTCTTTTCCAGACATTTCCAAACATCTGCGAGTTTGCACAGATTTGAATTTTTTCTCTGCAGATGTTAACTTCTTGGTCCACAGGTTTTACTCATTCCTAGGATTCCTTTTTTTTAGGCATTTACAGCTGTTTTGGAACCTCAAATAGAACATCAGTCCCTAAAATGTTCTCCAAAGAAGAAACAGAAAATGGATGAACAGCTACAGTATCCTTGTATTTAGAGTGGATGAATGAAAATGTTCACCTTTAGACTGATATGAAATGGCTGATTCCGAGTTATTCTGACAGTTTCGCAGGTCAGCTAGTTTTTCAGTTAGTAAAGTGCCTCCATTAGTCAATCAGTCAGTCAATCAGTTGGCCAGTCTGTTGGTCTGTTAGTCCATTGATAAGTTGATGAGTGGGTCTGTCAGTCATTGCATCAGTCAGTTTATCAGTTAATCAATGTGTAGCATTTTTTATTTTAGAACCTAAGAGTTACTAATACCTTAACTCTGTTGTAGTGCTCGTTTCATTCAAGCTGTTTCCGAACTTCAATTTCTTGGATTCATCAAATCAACTCGACAGAAAACTGATCATGTACAGAGACTCACTTGGGGAGCATTTTGATATAAAAGTTATCCTTCACATCTGGTCATTTTTCAACAGTAACAACAGTAACTGTCTTGTTGATCTAGAAAGAACTGTGATGGAAGAACTGGGTTTTCAAGAAAATATAAAAGTTGCATTTTGTTTTTGTGGGAAATACATGATTACCAATTCTCACATTGCTCTCCAGTCAAGTATAAATAGCTACTGGGAATTTGTTACAGTTAACCTAACAAATGCTGGTGGGTTACCCACAATGGGCTAGTAGCATAGACATGCTTATCCTCATTCCATGTTAGAGCAACCAGGGAGAAGCAATGACCAGCTATAATGGGCAGTTAGCTCTGTCAATATAAAAAGAACCTGGTTGACATGGAATTCAACTTGTTTTTCCTTAATGTAAATCACATAAAATTTTACTGTTATATCTGTTGTTTCAAATTGTTTTCAATGGTAGTTGGAAATTTCAAGTTTCACCTGACACCTCATGAAATACAACTTCTGTTTAATTTTTTATTTATCTGCTTCATAATGTTAATACCAGATATAAGTTCTGGTATTTTAGATTGGTTGGGTCCTCATAACATTTAACATGTTTTTGAAGGTCAAAGTATTCTCAGAATAATTCAATGGTGAAGTTCTTGCTAAAAAATATTTAGTCTTTTTGTGTATGAAGGTTGTTAAAAGTTATGCAAAAAATAATTCGAGATATTGAGATAATGTGAATTGGCCACTGTAAACAGCTTCTAGCAGAATTTTCAGAATGTGTTGAATGGCTAATTGATTTCAACTTTTTTAGCCAGCTCTAAACTTTAGCTTTTTCTTTCAACCTTTTTTTTTTATTCTGTTAACAATCATTGTATTGTATAAAGAATACTTTGCACACCTTTTGTAGAAAGCTTGAATGACATTCTTGAAACAGCAGAATGATAAAATAACCAGTGAAAAGTATGTTTACTAAGTTTCTCTTGAACATGAAAATTGTACAGAGTAATATGAACATATAAAATACCATGAAAATATTATTATTTAATTAATCTTATACCATAGCTTTTATAAATGACTTTCTCAACAACAAAAAATAATCATGGATCCTGGTCTATCAAAAAAAGTCATTTTTGAAATTGACATGTTACAGATGTAATCAAGAAGTCTCAGTATTTTCTATTCTACAATTAATATATCCAGCATAATGGATTTTCACCCAGATAAGAGTGCTACTCAATAAAGGTTTTCCAGGACACTGCAGGTACCATTTATAAAGCAAACTTATTAGCTTGCATATTGTATTTATCCTAATTTGATTTTTTTCTGTTTGCTTTCTGTTGAAGATCTTTGATCAGATTTTTCCTGAAAAATAACATGGATTTGAGTCTATTAGTCTTACATCTAGGCAGTTTGGAAAGGCACAAAACACCAGAACATAAATTAATCTTCCCAATTGGCACTCTTTATCCCCACCATATCTAAGAGCACTTTTCATTCAACTAATTTATTCTTGTTTTTTCAACACCACATTCCCACCAATAGTGTAGCTCCATTTTCTGCATGTAAACCCACACACAACCCACAATTGCTCTGACAAAGGGCTAACACTGGAAAGTCAGCTTTTTTACTCTTTACGGTGGCCAATTTGTTTTCAACTCAGTTGTTAACACTAAATTGCCTGCTCTACTCTCCCACCCACACAGCACCACAGTTTCTTTAGAGTACCAGTGTAAGTTATATCAAAATGTTCTAATTATTTACTACCTGAACATGAAAAGTCCCAGCATGGAGTCCATCTGCTATTAAATCATAGAGTTTGATTGCTTTCTCGTGAGTTGTTGTCAAGCTTTGTTTTACACCTTGGAATTGTACAAAATTATATAATATAGTTAATCATCTCTTTCAACAAAGTTGTTTTGAATTCACATTGGCCTTAAGTCAGATGGTGAAACAAATTTAAAATAATCCAGACCTCCACTTTGATGTAATTTTTAATTAGTACACTATAGTTGTATACAAGTAGACTTCATCACCTCCATTGCCTTCAAATGCCTTTTGTACAGCGTCTATGTGGTTTTCAAAGTTGTCAAGCTGAAAGCAAAATAATTCAAATATACCAAGACAATGAGTTCAGAGTCTGAAACTCACCAGTAACACTCTGTAAACCATCAAAAGATGTCCAGAATTTAAGACTGGTTATGTAAGTTTCAACAACTTGTTCAGTAGCAGTACCTGTTCTTGAGCACTGTCCAAATCTTTAACTTCCTGTCTCAAAGCTGCATTCACATACTTTGCCTTAAAGACGAGAAGGTATAATATGAACAGGTTACATAATAATTATTTTAAAAACAAATGAATAGTTAATGTTGATAGACATGCAATGAAAAGGGGCTATGCCTTACTGCTTTGATTTTTCTTTCAAGTTCTTTAAGCTCTTCATCAATCTGCTTTTCATCCTCTACTGTACATTGGTGTTTGTGATGTACCTGTGACAAATGGCCACAATTATGCCCAGTTAACCTTTACTGAATGTTTACTCCTTAAGTGGGATATTCCCTATTTAACATGACTGTTGAGTATTGAACTCTAGATCCAGTTGTTGAGTTCCTGGGCCTGATTAGGAAAGCTCTGTGATATTCTAAGGTGAGACAATTTTAATTTTCAGTGGTACAAATGAGTAACCTGTAGCTGTTAGAGAAACTACCACAGGGTCACCAGTGATTTCTTACCCTCCTCTCACATTTAGCAGCAATACTCATTGTCATTTTATGCTGCAGAAGCTGGATAATATATTTCTAAACAATTACCAAAACATCTAAAAAACAATCAGTAAAAACTCCACCAAACAGGTACATGGTAAGTAACCATCACACATAGAATCCTCAAAATGCTGCTCTAACAAAAAAAAAACTCTTCCAATCCCATGTGCCATAATTGTAACTTGTTATCTGCTTGCCAGCTTACAAATTTGAGAAATGTCAAAGCATGTATGAGGCCAGTTTTTTATGCATCCATTAATCTGATATTACTATCAACAATGGAATAAACTTCAACATTAACCCACAACCTCAGTACTCCTGAAACTTTATCTACCTGTCACATCACCATGGTTGTCATATATAAAGAAAATTAATAAGTAGAGAGCCACAGATTTGTATGTTATGTTGTTGGTGAGTTTCATTTTAACCTTTATATTTGGCACCAAGGAGAGAAATAAAAAACAAATAAAAAACAATCATTAAGCATCAAAATCAATACAGCAATATTGAATGATTTATAGCCTGTTCATATGAAAATTAACTGGCAAAATATTAAAGGATTTTCTAACCTTGTCTTCTGGTAAAAGAATATTGGCAGGAATTTTGAAGATGTTATTTTTTACATAAACCTGGAGAATCATAAATTGTATGAATAAAATCATCATCAATCATCAACATCCTCCATGAGTTTGAAATGTTAACATACAACACAGATTGCCAGAGTGGAATCAAATATTAATATTCTTGACTTGCCCGCGACATAAGAGTCTCTATTATTATTACCTCAAATCTGTCAAAAGCTGCATCAATACTTTTATAAAAACCTTTGATCATTTTCTCGCTCTCCTGAAATGAGTAAAAAGGTGTAATGAGGTACAGTCATCAACTTGTAGCAATTCACTAAGTGATTTAACAAAATCAGAAATGAAAGTGAAGCTGGCCTGACCCTGTGAAGCGTTTCCTCTGATACATCACATGACACTGAGGGCTAAATGGAAATAAAAGGCCATAAGAAAACCCACAATAATTAGTTTTGTACTGGGTTTTTTGCTGTACTGTGGAAGTTTCTTAATATTTTAGGCAGTAAAATGACTGTACTTCTCTCACCTCACTTTTGATAACATTTTCCAACTCTTGAATGCAGTCACCAACATAGTCGTTCACAGCATTGTAAACTGTCAAATTAAAGAGTAAGGAACAAAACAGCGATCGCAAATCAACCTCACAAGATTTTTGTTCATTATGAATCACTGACATGTCGAGTTTAAAATGGCGTTTGTGCAATGCGACATTTAACTACCTCCATCTACGAAAGATTCAGGGGTAAACCCGAAGAACTGAGTTTCGTAATCGTATTCTGTGCTCTTTTTACCAAAATCAATCTCCATTTTCTTCTTATGTGTTTCACATTTAACCGCGTAAAGTCAAAACACATAACATTCCCCTCAACAAAGATTTTAGTTTGATAAAAGAATTCCCGCCAGAATGGTAGACAAATATTCCTCAGTGGGGTGGAGTGAAAAGGTATCTTTGATATCTTATCAAAGCCAAATTTTCTCGACAAATGAATAGATATTTTATGGTAAGGATCAATTTCCATATTTTAATTTAATTTGCCGAAATTAAACAGCTTTCATACAATTTACCAAATAACTATTTATCCTACCAGAATCAGCCACCCTCCTATCCTAGGTTGATTTTTCTCGCGTTCACTAGGAAACTGGCACTAGTGTATAATTCCTTGGTTTGTTTGTTCTTTACAACGGTCAGATGTTGCTTTGAAACTGACTTTCCTTACTTTTGTTTAGGTAATTACCTCCCCAGATCGATCACTGATCCCCATTATTTAGGTAAGATAGCTTTAACATGAGTTGACTATATCCATGGAAGGTAGCTAAGAGATGCAATCGATGCTTTAACTTGCAACTCGTACTGAGTTCTTCCAAAATTCATCTTCCCTATTAATCTCTGATGATCATCGAAGAATCACTTTTCGATCCTAAAATAACTCTGTATAATGTTGATTGCCGCTATATCAGGATGAAAGGGAGCCTTACTTCATGATTTTCAAGCTTTACCTTCTTTTATCAAGGATGATGTAATTTTTTTCAAGGTCACAATTCCGATCGACATATCTTAGAATTACAGAGTAAAGGATTTGAATTTAAGTCTAATTTCAGTGAAGAACTGCGGGATCGTGTGGTTTGCCTGGAACGAGGAGGCCATCAAAACTTATTAATCTAGAAGTAGACAAAGCAAGAAATTGTTAGTTCATAGGTTCTTGTGGGAACAAATAATTTTTCTCAAATTTGCTTGTCACTGTGACCTTTTACGAGCTAGTATATTCAATTTGTACCGGTAGGACTACTACTGAAAAGTGGTCATGTGTAATCAGAGGCTGTAGTGGTTGAGAAGCAGTTGAAACTGGAGCAGTTGATCAGTAAGATATTGAAAAGAAAGCAATGGTTTGTAGAGCAGCTTTTCATTACTAAATTATTCCTTTGCAGATCTTTCTTTGGTTCACCAATCCTCTTTTCTATAATGGAATACAGTCCTCAGTCCACAGCATCGTCTATTCCATTTGACTCCACCACAACACTCACCATGTCAATGGCAGATGAGCTTAAATCTCAACACAGGCAACTATTTAATCCTGTCACACCTGACGTTTCACCACCCGCACAGACTAGTAATGGGGGATTCCCTATAAGGGGTAAAGAAACAGGGGTGAGATGAAAGAATTCACATATTCACATCTATTGTTGCTTCTCTGTAGTTGTGCAAACTGTAGCTCTACTCTTAGCTTAAGCTTAACAGATATATTATCCATCTTTTTGGATCTATTATTTGTTTTCTTTGGTTTTATTCTACCTGAATGGCAGGGTGAAAATAGATGAGGTGACCCTCAAACTCCCCACTCCTTTGATTTCTTTTCTCTCTTCCATTTACTGTTTCTCAGTCAGTGTTAGAGGTAAGCAATATGACAAATGCAGATATTCAGGAAATGGAGCAAGTGAGAGAACACCTGCAACTGATGCTGCAGAACTGTAAAGGATTCACAGATCAAAGTGATTATGAACAAACTCCAAGAACAACTACAGGTGACTAATTTACTATAAACACCTCTGCCCTCTTTTAAGCTGTGCATTCCATTCCTCTCACCTGCTGAAGACAAAGGAGCTTGGCAGAGAATCAATTCAAGTAATTCCATATGAGTGACAAACCCATAATTGGCCAGTCTTAACCTAGTGGCAACTTCTGTGTAATAATAATCATTCACAAGAACTTTGAGTCTATATCTGTCGTCAAAGTGTTATTTTACTTAACTCTGACTACCTCCATTAAACCAATTGTTTTTCTTTGTTGTAGACTGTGAAACACAAGAAAATGAAGGGGACAAAGAGTCTACTATAAGTGTGGAAACAACATCCTTGTTGCAGAGACTTCTTCCAAATTCTTCCCCTCTCTCTGAAATTCAGGTAAAATGTGTGTCAACTGGATTTCAAAGAATTTTTTCTTCTGCCTTATGTACAAGCTTAACATTAGAGTTACTTTCAAACTTGAAGATTCTAAATGCTTTTAGTTTATTTGTAATCAATGATTAAATATAATTATTGATGTATAATGGATTATGAAATATTGCTCTTGTGATAGGTTCATTTTCAAACTCCTGAGCAAGGCGCATTATCTCATGATCAACATACCAGGCAGATGGTGTCATTTGCCAGTGACAGAAGGTTAAATGCAATTCCTACCAGTAAAGTCACCAATGAGAAAACACTTCTGTCTGAAAATTCCCTGCTTAGAGATCAGGTGGAGAAAGAGAGGTTTAGGAGAAAGGTTTGTACCAGCACAGTACACTGAATGATGTAATATTTGTGCTACAGAGATGCAGTTAGATTAAGATGTGTCAGGTTTAGCTACTTTACATTATCTATCACTTTTTTATAAGTGATGATGCTAGCAAGTAGCAAACTAGAAATTGTCAAATGTTGATCATCTCTCTTTGGTAGGGCTGTCCTTTTTACCTCTATCATGAAATAAGTAATTTTATACTTGTTGCTTCTTTTCAGCACTGTGAACAACAAATACAGGAACTTCATAGGAAGGTAAGGCTGCTATTAATTATGAGACAAATGATTCAAAATCTGTTTAAAGGCTTATTACACTCACATGTCAATGGAATCAAATAATAGGAAAGGCTGGATGATATTTTTGTCCAGTCACTTGCCAAACACTAATATCTGTTTTGAGCAAAGGCTAAAACAACCAAAGTCCCCATAAATGTTTTTGGTAATAATCCCTACAATAAAAGAACTGAGGTCTGTGTGTTCTGTTTCCAAAGAACTCTAACTCATTTTGAAGCCATGTGTAGAGATTCAACATGAATATATTTTACAGTAAAGTGTTTAATTAATGATTCTTTGCTCACAGCTACTGGAAGCTCAGCAGCAGCTGGCTGTTGCAGTGTCCGCTGAGAGAAAAAAAGATGCTATGATTGAACAACTTGACAAGGTTTGTGTAAAGTAAAGCCTCTGTACAGGCTCAAGTGGCCCATGGGGCTGGCGCTTAACTCCGGTTTCATTAGCATGAAGCAGCTTAGAGTATTGCTACTCCCCCCTGGATGGGATGCTAGTCCATCGCAGGGTTACCCCCAGCATATTTGCTGGTACCCATTTGTACACCTGGGTGAAGAGAAGCACTGTGAGAGTAAAGTGTCTTGCCTAAGAACACAACACAATGACCCCAGCCAGGACTTGAACCCAGACCACTCAATCTGGAGTCAAGCGCGCTAACCATGAGGCCACCGTGCCTCCCTCAACCTTGACAAGGTTTGTAACTGTACTTTTTTACATCATTCATAATCATCTGCAGTTATATGACAGATTAACTGATTGATAATAGTATCGTGAGTTTATTAATTTCTGAGAGTGGTGAAAAATTAAAATAAACTGGCACAAAGTTGAAGAAACTATCTTGGTATAACACAGATCCTTAAAACCAATAAAATATGTTGTGTTTGTGATCATGTTGTGAATTGAACTGCATTTTTTAAGGGGTGAGCAATATCATTGTTCTGCTGCAGACTTTAGCTAAAGTTGTGGATGGCTGGAAAAAACATGAAAGTGAGAAGGTAGCCATTATCAACCAACTGAAAATAGAACAGGAAACTGCAGAGCAGTCTCAGCAAAGACAACAGGAGGTGAGAATTTTTTTATGTTGACAGACATCATTGGAAACTTAGGGTTATTTCTACATGCTTTTCAAATTCTATAAAATGGTTAAATTCCAGATGTTGCTCCAGTTTGAGAAAGAGCTGGCACAAGCTGTGGAGGCTTTGACTAAAGAACAGGAAAAAGCAGCTCAGGCTGAAAGAGAAAAACAATCACAGGTTGTCATTTGTAGAGCAGCTGTCATGTTGTTTTCTTGTTTTTTAAACTTATAAAAATGTGTCAACACCTAGAAATTATTATGCTGCATGATATGTCTTCTTGCCAAGTGACCCATACTTAACACCTCAGACTCTTCTGAGAAAGCCTTGAAGATATTAGATGAGCATAAAATACTGAGTTAATCACATACATGCAGATCTATGTGCACAGTGTCATAGGTGTTTCTTGGTGCTGCTTAGTGGAATTTTTCTTCCCCAAAACCATTCTTCATATGCCAAGTCAACTTAGGTTAAGAACAAATTTCAGCTCAAGCAACAAAAGGAGGAAAGAAACAAGTTACTAGAATGCCTGTCAAATGAAAAAGAAGCTGTGTCACGAATGGAACAGGAGAAAATTCAACTCAGAAAAGAAAAAGAAGAAGCTGAAGAGAAATATGTTCAGACAGATGAGGCTTTGAAGGAGGTAAGAAATGAATGGATTTTAAAACATGTTGTTGGCCTATAAATATTAAGAATATTAGAACTCAAGAGGCAGTTTTGACTCTTTCATTCTCAGGATTCCAAGGAGTAACCTAACAATTGTTAACCAAAATATCAGCACTATGATAATCAGAGAAGTGATGAAAGAAAACCATTGACGAGGGAATTTTGTTTGATGTAGCATTCACCAAATTCTCAACGAAGTCATTGTCAGAAATATATAATATACAATAAGAAGAGATGATGCTGGGGTTGAAATAATAGTTAAAAGTTGGTGACAATTCATTTTTTTTGTTTAGCACAAAAGAATCCTTGAAGAACTTCAATCAAAATTCAGCAGCCTGGAAGCAGAACATAATGATTCAATGGCCATGGAGAAGGTTCTATAAAATTTTATCTAGTACACGTATGGTAGATCTTCAAGTTGTTAGATGTTTTCAATACTAAGCATATTATATCTGCATTTATACACTGTGGGAGGGTGTTACAATTATAGCATATAAGGTTCACTATTTATATTTATTTTTTTATCCAATATTTAAATTTATTTGATAGTCATTGTTTTGTTAATTTAATCAGGAAAAGCTACGCAAGGAAATACAGAATACCAAGGTGAGTTGTCACATTAGATTTCAAAAGCTTTAGAACTAGCTACTGCTCTAGCTTTCTATGTAGTGTTGCAAACTGTTTGTTGTCCTTTTGTAGGATAGTCAAGTTGTCCTCGCCTCAGTTCAGAAAGAAGTACAGCATCTTGAGATGGAGCTTGATGCAAGTAACAGAGAAAAGGTTTTGAGTATATCTTTCTGTATCTAGTGCAGGAGATATCCAAATATTCTCTTACCAAAGCCAATCTTGTGGTTTGACTCTTTTTTTTTTAATCACTTTTTTGTACAATTAAGTTAATTAGTGATTATTTAATTAAAGTAGCACTCATTTCTGTTGTAGCATTATGACCAAGATTTCCTGTTCCACCAAAAGGTTTCAGATAATCTAAGGGATTCACTCATGGCCCACAGAGACCTCTACAGTTTCCTAGAATAGAAATCTCTTCCACAACTTTTCTTATTCACATGATCAGTATTTTTATTAGTTATACTTGAATGAAGATTTTTTCCTGTTCCCAAATGATTGAGTTAATTTTCTATGTTCTGTAATATTCTAAAAAGGCTCTCTCCAAATCTTATTTCTTTAGTTGTTTTTAACTTTTAGGAGAGTTTGAAGATGGAGTTACGTTTGATGGAAGCCAAACATGAAGCAAATAGAACCAAAGAAGAGACTGAAAGGCAAGCTGAACTGGAAAGAGAGGTCAATTGTTAATTGTTGTTGACAATATTCCTGGATTACTTAATATTCAAGAGCAGCATTTTTTCTGGAATACTTTTTAGGCCAGACTAAAAAAACACTGTGATCAATGACATTTGATATTAATATTTTTCTCTCTCATTTTGCACTTGTCAGATGACTCAGCGGCTGGAAGAGATTCATGATCAAATGTCAAAAACAGAATCAGAATTAAGGGAATCACACAGAAAACAGGTATCTCATGGCATGCTGATGTTAGACTGCATGATAGATAACCATAGATGTCCTGGAATTTTTTGTTGACATTTTCCAGGACTTTCCAGTCCTGGAAAAACACAAAAGGTCCTGGTCCTAAATGTATGTAGATGGTAAGGAGAATTGATTTTTAAATCTTGGGGATGAAAAGGTTGAGTGTGATATTTGGAGTCTTGAAAAAATCAATTTGAGTCCTACAAAAGTCCCAGAAAAGTCCACAGAATTTGTTTCTGAAAAAGGGCACTAACCCTGAGTAAGGTGATGTCTCTTTTTTAACAGCTTCTGGAGATGAGCAAGAAACACAAAGAAGAACTTGAACAGCAGTTGGGAAAATTTCATGAGGTTACTTTTAATTACTTATTAATTGATAATATTATACTAGAATTATCCCTAGTCATAATTTCATGTTAAAGATGCAAGAAAATTATTGAAAGCAGGGTACAAAATCTACTTACATCCAAAAATATCATGACAGCTCATCTTTTACACATATATTCTTGAATATATATACATAGTAATATATCTACATATTCTTTTTATATATTTTTTAAATGTATATATTCTTTTTATGCAGGAGTTGAAAAAAAAGGAAATCAAGGTGAAGTCTACTACTGATGAATATGAAGAAAGGTATTTTAATTTGAATTCTCAACAAAATCATTGTTTTCAATTTTTGTCAAGAGATAAGATTTGATAAATATTCCAGCCTGAAGGTTGAAAACGTGTAACTCTTTGGTTCCAGAATCAGTACTTTCCAAGAAAAGATGGCTTCTCTCTCAAACTCAAGGCTTTACTTGGAGAAAGAAAGGTGATCACATTGATAAGGTTACTGTTTAATAATACTGTAACAACTGTAATTTAAGTCAACTACCAGTATCTTTAGAATAGAGCAGTTTACTGCATTCTTGATGATTATGTTTTGGTTGCATCTAATAAAAATCTTTGGAATAGCTCCAAGCTGACTAATCTGGTTTTCATTACTTTCATTGGTACTTAGACAGATGCTGTCTGTGCGTCTACAGCAGATGATGCAGTCTCACTGTGAGGAAGCCATCAAGCTGTTGAATTCCAGTAGAACTTCATTGTCCCCTCTGTCTGGAACACAACAGGTATTCTATAATTATTCTACCTAATAGTATACAGTATGCTGCCTAGAATATTAAACAAAAAAAATGGAAATATCCTTGAGATAAAGAACAGTAAGCTCATTTCTCCACTAAGATTGTCTGAGTGCATAAATATTTTAATTTCAGCTTGTACACAATCAAAGCTCCTTTGCGAAGAATGTCAAGGAGTCAAACTCTGACTGGGAAAAAGACACAGGCTACCAGCCTGGTAAAGGACCAATCACAGCAGCTCTGTTTCAATCTTCACAAGTACATCAACACCAGCAGAAGATACCTGATGAAATCTCAGCAAATTATGTAACACCTAAATTAGCACATAATATCAGCCATGACAGTTCTCAGACTGATAGTGGCATGTACTCAAAGAGTTATCTTAGCAACAATGGAGACATGGTTAGGCATGGGATGCTATCACATGACCAGTCTGCAAATCCAGACTTTTTTCCTCTTCACACTGTCAATGATGACAGGACTGTTATTGAGGGACAGGTAATTAGTTTTAAGCTGTAGCTCACCCTTCCTAAAAATATATTACTGGCTGCCTCACTGTCCTCTTTACTGAACCATAAATCACATTAAAATGGCTAACTATAATTTGCAAAACAAAATGAGACAAAATGAAAATCTGTAAATTTGTCTACCAAGTGGAAATGCGCTAATGATTTGCAAATTAGAAATCTGTAATTTGGAAAATGTAAATATGCTAATGATTTGCAAAATAGAAATCTGTAATTTGCAATTTGAAGTGCACATGCTTGAAAATCTGTGATTTGCAAAACAAGAACTCCCACAGAAAATTCCACAAGCCAGAAGAATGAGTTGGTCAGTTCACCATAAGTGTAGATTGCAGCCTGCCAAATAATACATTGATTACACCTTATAGACAGTACAGCTACAGCATCAACTAACATTTCAAATTACTTTTGTGCTCTATGGCCTAAAAAATGCATTGAGTTATTCACGAACTTAGTAGAGATTTCGCAAAGTTCACCACACAGATTTTTTATTTCTCACTTTTGCTAGTTGTTTTTAGGTGAACTTACTGATTCATTCTATTGGTTTGTGGAGCTTTTGGCAGGGATTCTCATTTTGCAAATCACAAATTTCTATTTTGCAAATCATTAGCATATTTCCATTTCACAAATTAAAGGTTTTTGTTTTGTTTTGTTCTGTTTTGTTTTGTTTCACAAATTACAGTAAGCCTCTAAAATGTTACCTGAGGTGTAATCTTTTGTGAACTGTAATTTAGATTCAGTAATCAATAAATTAATAATTTATTTTCATTTTCTGTATAGTCTGTGATCAATGGAGATGCTTATGAAGACAGAGAAGAAACACTTCTCGAACAAGAACTAGATACAGACAACACATTACTATCAGTATTTCATCAAGACAACCATCTTCCTAGGTGAGACATCTGTGGGACTCTCAACAGTGTAAGCTTTATTTCGAGTGTCTGCTTAATACTGGCATAATAATTAATAGTAATTATGAATTTAAAAAGTTTTTAACCTGAAACAGAACAGAGTGAGTTATTCAGACCTAAATAAAATTGTATTAATTTAATTGTTGAGCTATTTTCATGATAGAGGTCTCATGTAGTAACAAATTAAAGTATGTAGTTTTGTCCACTAGAAGTGTCTATTGAATACAGGTTTCACTGTGTCAAGGGATACAACTAACCAAAAACTAGAGTTTTGATTTATTTAAAAGAGGTTTATGAGAAAGGTAAGACCTTGTTTAAATTTTATGAAAACATTTATAGACTAATATGTTATAATATAAAAGTGTTCTTCTTGGAGTAGGACATTTGCCTAAATCTCAAATGTATGTGCATGAATTATGATGTAGTAAATCTGGTAAAAAATTTTTTTTTTTTGTGATTGACAGGAATGTCTCCCCTGCAGCTGTGACTGAGGATACCATAACAGAGAAACTTCAGCAGCAAGAATCACGCCAGGCAGAATTAAACCACTATGTGAAAATGGTGAATGTTTTCAAAAAAACTGTTAACACTTTGTTTTGTCCTTTGTTTTTTTTCTCTGAATTTGTTTTATTACTGACAGACACATTATTCTAACTTTGTTATCTTCTAATGATTAAGGATGGTATTATAAAATGCAATATGACGTTGTTGACTTACTGATTCAGTATACTTACTCACAGCTTCTGCAAAGATCACCTGCAGATCAACCCTATAAGGTAACATAGACTCTTTCAGAAAAAAAAACTGGTTACCTTATTCTGTTTTTAAATTCAAAGCTTTGATTTTTAATTTTCTTGCATCTTATTCTTTTTACAGCAGGAAAAAGATCACCTCCCTAATGGACTTAGGCTGATCCCTTCATCCAGTGATGTGCAAGGTTTGTTTGATAGCGCTTCAGTCAAACCTTATTCCACAAAATATTTCTGTTTTCTTTGAATTTGTTAAAAACCAAAATCCCTACTACTTAATATTCAAAACCTTTGATTATTTATTTCCAATGAATTAAATGCTTAGTTTGAATAAAATCCTATGTTTATCAGAAGGTTTATGGTTTTTCACTTACAAGGGTCAATTTACTCTCAAAGTTGGCTCCTTTTGGAAATTGCCAACAAGTGTGAGGTTTAGTCCTAGAGTTGATGGGTCAGTACTGAAGAGGTTATTTTCCTTTTTAAGTGAGATTTTTACATCAGGCAAACAGTGTCATCTCTGCAGCTATGTGAACTTACTTACAATTATGTATGTTGATTCTCTTCCTTTGAACCTCAGACAGATACTCTAACTCTTCCTCAGAAGTAATTTCTCCCATTCATTCAGATGGTCAGTTTGAGCAAAGACATCTGATGTCCTCACACCACCATTCATTCAAAGACTCAAGTTCACATTCCTATCAGGTATTCCACTTGGTAATATACAACACCTCTCATGGACCAAGAAGACAAGGCTAGGGATACATTTTTGTATTTTCATTGTGTATCTAACTGGTTAAGGAATGATTTAAAGGCATGCAAAATGGCTATAATTTACTGACACTTGTGGAAAACAGAAACAATTATCTCAAAATCATTACTGAGTCACCAGCTCTTTATCAAAAATAATTCAAAGAAAACAAAATATTTCAATTTCCATTGGCTCACTGAACCTTGAAGCAATTGACAATAACTAATAAGTGGTTTTTGCAAAAAAATTAGCATTTAAGTTTAGCAGGTATGCAGTAGGTTAAAGCCAGTTAAATCAACCAATCAAAGTGCACATTGTAAACTCCGATCACACTAATTGATGTTTCAGAAAGTGTCCTCAAACTCTATCATATTCTAGAATGGACTCATGTTTCTTCTAAGTAAATTCTGTTGAAATTTGGCATTCTAAATTCTCCAAAGAACATGCACATTGAAACACTCATGGTGTGACCATGATCATTTCACAGGAAGTTAAACATAAAGCACACCCACCACAAGCTGCCTTCACAAAAACCACAGTCACACCAGGTACACGTAGCATTCCAAGCCAAGCCAGAGAAGATGTTGGTATTACAAGTCAGGTAATTGTTAAATTGTGTGACTCAATAGCGTTTGTGTTTACGAAATAAAGTTTTGAAGATATTAGGGTTTGGTGGTCCTTCGTAATATCTCTGTTCCAATTTCAATTTTTATCAGGTACCATTCCATGCACCACACACTCGAATAGGTCAAGTTGCACCTCACACACCACCCCGGAGAGAACGAGACAGTGATGACCATCCTCCTCTCCCAGGAGCATTAACTCCTCACCAAGTTGGTCAGCTGTCTAGAATGCTTGGACTATTTTCAGAACCTGGTCAGCCACAGATTACAGCTGAACAACTCTTTGCTTACCTCAGAAGAGTGCAGAACAAGTGAGTTCTCCTTTAACCCTTTAACTCCCAAGATCTCATTAGTAATTCTCCTTACTGTCTGCCAAATGATTCTCATTAAGTTAGTTTGGAGAATTTGGAAAGTGGCCCATGGGGCTGGCACTTAACTCTGGTTTCCTTAACAGGAAGTGGCTAGGAGTATTGTTACTCCCCCCTGGATCCCATCACGGGGTTACCCCCAGCATATTTGCTGGTACCATTTGTACACCTGGGTGAAGAGAAGCACAGTGAGAGTAAAGTGTCTTGCCTAAGAACAAAACAATGGCCCTGGCCAGGGCACTAACCAAGACCACTTGATACAGAGTCAAGCATACTAACCATGAGGCCACCGTGCCTCCATAATTGATATTTTTATTTATTCTCATCACTTGTCTGAATGATATTGTATAGATATAGTAAGGAGAAATTCTGCCTTGGTCACTCACTGGAGTTAAAGGGTTAAGGTGCACATTGTGACCTAAAAAACTAGTTATTTCCTTTGAAAGCTAATCTTAAAGTGGTCAGATTTAATTTTTCCATTATTATAATTGTGACTGAAAATCATTTTAAGTATGCTTTGTTACTGGCTATATTCCCCTATCAGCAACCCACTGGGTAACAGCCTCACAACATCAGCAGCATCAAGCCCAGTCAGTACCAAGGCCCACAGCACACATGAGCACCATGTACCGGGACATAGTGTAGGGAATTCTCCTTCCCAGGCTCTGCCAAAACAACACATGATAGCCAACAAGGCTAGAAGAAGTCTGGACACTAACTCTCACAAGAGACAGGTAGCAAACTGCAGTCACTGCTCCCATTAACTGATTGAGTGCTGCCTATATAAGGTGGTGAAGGGCAGAGTTAATATATCAACAAGTCTAATCTTTAATTGAAGGGATTCCTTTGCCAAGATAAATATCACTGACTTAATTTGATCTAAGAGAGCTCTAAGATCATTAGATAACATTTTGAAATTTGCATCAAATTTTAAGTATCTTTCAATATTTAACAGTATGAAGGGTGCATACTAGCATACCAGTAGCCTGCATTGCTGGTGGTCTGCAATTTTGGGGGCAGAGAGAAATATCTCTGCTCCCAAAATTGCAGACCGCCAGCAAAGCAGGCTAACATACCAGTAAATTTAGTTTATAGCCTATCATGCTCAAAAGTTCACTTTTACTCTGTGTTAGAGAATTCAATGGGCAAGCCAAATGGAGTGAACTAAAAAAATGTATTTTTTTTTCCTCTTTTCTTATCTATTTTCTATTTTCTATCTTCCTTCAACTGTAGGGTCCTTCTGTTAGTGGTCTCCCTATTAATCCACCTGGAAGCCAGGTTACAAAATCTGCTGAGCAACCAGGCCTGACCAGAACTCACAAACAGCCTGTCAGACAAGTATCAAGTCTGGTGGGTCCTTCCCTTAGGAACCCAGCTGGGGTGCAAGACGGAACCAAGTCAGCAGCAAAAGTAGGACTACAAAGCAGAGAACCTAAGGCCAAATCTGCTGCTACAAAACAGACTAAGATCAGTGCTTGGAGATAGGCTGATATTGATTATTTTATTTATTTTCTCACTTGTCAATATGTTTTACGGAGCTAGGCAAATATAGCTTTTATTTTATAATAAATCATCATTTGAGATATCTTGTGATTAATACAGTTGTCTTTCATTCCTTGTTTCATACATTCTTACTTAACAATTTAATGGCACTACTAATATATAATACTTGCCAATGATAAGATTGATAAAGTAATAATGAATAGGAACTAATGAAAAAAATAAATTGCTTATTGCCTCTACTAAAACTCATAAAACTATGAGCCCCAAAAATATTTTCGAGTAATATGTCAAAAGAGGGAAATCACACCAGAAGTAATATAACTTTATGGTTTGCTTTAGTTTTTCTTTTTGAAGTCATTGATTATAACAAAATAACAGCACAAATGTTTTGGCCTGTCCTGGGAGCAAGTTTTCTACCAGGAAAGTTCTCCATGTCTTCTCTATGTTAAACAGTTCTTTGTCAGAAAGGAAAATGAACAATAAAATTCAAATCAATTTTTTTAATTTTGGATTACACATTCATATCAATTAAAGATAGTCAAACTCCTTATATATGAGTCCAACTTGGAGGTAAACAACTCACTTTGGATGGGTTCGTTAAGTTGACAAAGAGGATTTTTTACCACATACTCAACATAAATCTGAAAATGAATAAAAAAAGAAAAACACTCATGATAACTGAAAAGTTTATTGTGCCATTACCAAATGATTGATAAAGCACCTCCTGGGTGTAGCCATTGTTAGTTTTTTACAACTACATTACAAATGTAATTTAGTGTTAACAAGTAAGTTGAAAATGTAAATTTGCCACCATAAAGAGTTTAAAGGCTGACATTTTGAGCATTAGCCCTTCATCGGAGCCATTAGAGGAATTTGGGTTGTGTGTGGGTTTATATGCAGAAAATGGAGTTAGGCTATTGTTGGGAAGATGGTGATGAGAAAACAAGAATAAACTAGTTGAATGAAAAGTGCTCGTGCATACCATGGGGACTAAGAGTGCCTATTTGGAAGATGTATTTTTTGTTCAAGTGTTTTGCCACTTTCCCAACTGCCTAGATGTAGGGAAAGGCTGCAAACTGCCATATGTTGTTTAGAATAATTAGGGAGGTTAAAGTGTCTAGCAACTGGTTTGGACATGTTCTTGCCATTTCTTTGTACGTCCCGAAGGTGTTGTTGTCTTCATGTTTTATAACTTTTTGCATTAAGGGAAAGTTATGCAGTAAATGACATTGGCAAAGGTTCCTGTAAAGTGATCAGTGATCTAAATGGATCTCTTAGGTCCCGACATTTTCTCTACATTATGAATGAAAGGAAAAGTTTTGCATTGTGTATGAGCGCATTTGAGAGTTCCAGGTTGGTCACTGGTTTAAAATGAACTTCTGACCAAAAAGTTGCCTATGTTTTTGTCACATTTGAATGAAATTAGTGGAGGTTGCAAAAAGATAGTACCAGTCTCTGAATTGTTTTGGAGTAATTTCAAGTTTTTAACAGCATGGTTGTGAGGGTGAAATGTGAGAGTGAATGGAATGTGGTCAATGTTTTCCTTCTCAGCCATTTGTAGTGCTGATTGTTGATAAATTTGTTGGGCATGGTGGTGGCCCGCCTAAATGACAGAAACAGACAGAAACAGAAACAGAAAGAAATGACAAGGACACATCCAAACCAGTCAGTAGACACTTTAATCTCCCCAATCATCCTAAACAGCATATGGCTGTTTGCAGCCTCTCCCTACATCTAGGCAGTTTGGAAAGCCACAAAACGCAATTCCTCCAATTGCTCTGACGAAGGGCTAACACTTGAAACATCAGCCTTTAAACTCTTTACAATGGCCAATTTATGTTTTCAACTCAGTTGTTAATACCAAATTACCTGTTATACTCTCCCACTGACGCAGCATCACAATTCTTTAGAAAATTACCCTCTGTATAAATTACAAATGCTACACTTACCTTGCTGTATATATTGAAGAGGACATCTTTGATGCTTCCAGCATTTAAGTCTGTGTTCAAGATGAACTTAAGACCTGTTGGTGTTTCATAGAAATGTAACTTGTATTTACTTGTCCGGTAATTTAGAAAGCCATCTTTTCTGTTTATAAGTTAAGGATTCCACCCATGGAAAGGTACAAGATATCAGTATATCAAAGTCTGAATCAGACTTGAGAAAATGCTACCACTTCACGGTGGCATTTATTGTACTTTAAGCATTAATGTCTCTTTCATCAACAGCATCAAATTGTCCTCAAGCTGCTGCAAAAGTATTCCATCATCTCAAGTATGGTAAATAAAGGTAGAGAACTTAACATGCTGTAAATGATTCCACTCTGTTATGTTCCAGATAAAAAGGATGGAGACAAAAAATTGCCAGAGCATGAGGCTTGATTCTTTATTACACTTATCTATGGTTATGGACTGAAGCAGTTGATGGTGTGCTTTAATTTTGTTTCAAAAATGATTAAATCTATCCCTTGCCTGGGCAGTACTTAGTGTAAGCCAAACTATTGTCGGAAGACCCCTCAGAGTGCTTCACCCTACCTCAAATCCCTGCACCACCCAAGACTTTACATATAACATCTAATGATATGTAATCAAAATATGTGTTGTGGATACGACTCAGATGGTGACATTCGTGCCACAAATGACTTGATAGAGTACAACATACCATACATTAGCTTGAATTCCTTGAAGTAAAAATATGACAAAAAAGTTTAGTATTATCACATTTCAATTAAAAGGCATTCAGTAATTGTTTGGTTATAAATTTTTTAAATAATCTGCAAAAGAAGACACTTCTCTCTCATTTTGCAAAAGTTTAAGAACACTACAAAGACAGGGGGCTTGGAAACTAGGCAGACTTTGAACTCAACATGATAACCCAATATCTTTTGCAGATGTTGGGTCATGTTGGTGTGATGAATGTGTGCTCTCAACCAAACAAAGTTTCCAAACTTTTAGAAAGTCTAACATATAAAAACACAGATACAAGGTTTGATAATTCATGATATCATGTGAAAAGCCCATCCAAAAATTGTTTTAAATATATATTTTTAAAATAATCTGCAAAAGAAGACACTCCTTTCTGAGTTTGCAAAAGTTTGAGAACACTACATGGAAGAGGGGTTATCACATCAATTTAACACATCATTGTAATTATGCTCTTGACCAATCAGAGTTTTTAAAGTAAGCCTGATGTAAAATAATGTGAATAAGCCATGGTGGCCAATTTACATTATAAACTCAATTTATAAAACCATATTATCTTTTTTTATAGTACTCCAACACCACAGTTTCTTAAGAAACTCACCCCTTTCTTTCATTTGAATTAAAAAAGTGCTTTACCGCGATGAAAAATAAAGAGTGTAAC